AGTAATTGAGCGATTGTCCTTGAGCCGGACTAGATAAAACTTAATAAATATCTCTATCGAGATTTGATGATTGGCCTTGTGCCTTACCTGGACAAAACTTAATAAATATATCCATAGTAATTGAGCGATTGTCCTTGAGCCGGACTAGATAAAACTTAAGAAATATCTCTATCGAGATTTGATGATTGGCCTTGTGCCTTACCTGGACAAACAATAAATATATCCATAGTAATTGAGCGATTGTCCTTGAGCCGGACTAGATAAAACTTAAGAAATATCTCTATCGAGATTTGATGATTGGCCTTGTGCCTTGCCTGGACAAATATCTTCGCAGAAATTTGTTGATTGGCCCTATGCCACACTAGGCAAAAATTTAACAAATATATCCGTGATTCGCCTTGTGTCAGGCTTGGATTGAGTAATTAAAATTAATTAACATTTTCCGAGTATTTTTTTTCTTTTTTTTTTTTCATTTTGAAAATCTCATTAACTGAAATGTGCTGGGAAATTGTGACAGAACGCTGGGCGGGAAATAAATGAAAAGAGAAAAATAACAGAAATAGCAGTAGCATAAAGAAAGGGGACGCGGGTTTAAAAAGCAAATTAAGTTTTGCTCGATTCTCTCCGTTGACTTTTTACAGTTTTCATCTACGATAGAAAATTATAATCGAAATAACAAAGCAATTTTTCTTTTTTTTTAATTTTCTTGGTTGTTTTTTTTCTTTTTTTCTTAGTTTGTTGCAACAAACAAAAGCTTCATTGTTTCTATTCATTTATTTTTTTCCTTATTTAAATTGAAATATTCTTATCTGCTGTGTATCAGGTGGTCAAATGTCTCGCGGGATTTTCAGCGTCATCTTCAAATCTTTTGTATAGCTATCTTTATCCGCAATCAAACTAGCAAGTCTGGCTTCAGTAAAAATGCAACCGGAAGGAGACTCTGGCCAGACGTCCAGGTCAATCTATGGCCATACTCTCGTGTGTTCGGTAATTAAATGACACGAGAAATATTCCTTACAATTGAGGATAATAATCAGAAGATATGAGAACACGATAAATTGTAAAAGAAATGTCAAAACATTATATAATAAAAGATATATATATATATATATATATATATATATATATATATATATATATATATATATGTAAGAGATGAAAAGGGGGACGCGAGTCTGATAACTAAAAGAAAGGGTAAATTTGGCTTCAATCTATGACAATGCTATTGAACTGAGCCTGTGGAGACACAAACCTAATCAAACAGGAATTTGACGCTTCAGAATTTAAAATGCGAATGACGAATACACGTTCATACACAAAAAAGGCTCGGCGCAGAAGTTCGTTTCTTTCAACTTAAAAAATAATAAATTCGGATGGCATATTTGGTGTGTGTAAAAGTTTCGAGCGAAAAACCGATTTTTAACTATGAGCCCGAAATGCGATTTGAAAGTCGGGAACACTAGAATCAAGCAGACGCGGAAGTTTAAATATCTGGGAAGCGTCTTGACAGAGGACGTTAAGTGCAACACTGAGGTCCGTAGACGTATTGGGATGGGCAAGGACACATTCCAAAAGCTGAGTAGAGTATTGCGAGACAAGAGAATTTCTTTTGGTAATAAAGAAAGGAATACTGAGCTGTTACGTGACATTTGTCCTTCTTTACGACAGCGAATGTTGGATGATTTCCTCAAAGATGAAGAAGAGACTGGAGGCGACAGAGATGTAGTTCTACAGAATAATGAAGCGAGGTCTTAGAGAGGATGCAAACAAAAAGGGGCCTTATACTTGACATCAGAAAGAAGAAGCGCAGCTGAAGTTTCTGGGACATAATGAGGAAGGAGGGCCTGGGGAATCTGATACTCACGGGTCGAATAGAGAGAAAGTGAGACAAGGGAAAACAACGCGTGACATACAGGGGGCCGACACTATTTTTCAGACACTTTATTTTTTCAAGTTTTAGGTAGCACAGGCAGTCTGTACTGTTTTAGTGTAATGGCAATAACATTTAAAAACTGTTTCAATACTACAAATGGAAAAGTAGAATTCAAATTATTAGCATTTTTATTTTTTTTACAAATTTTCACATTACACAGGCGACAGTATTTTTCGGACATTGCAGAAACAATGCTAATAGTTTATGGCAGCACCCTTTTTTTCAATGACTTCTATCTGTCTATCTTCATAATGTTCGTACATATTGATAATAACGTCTCTTCGTCTTTCTAGCAGTCTATTTTTAGCATCTTATATGCGCTGCCACAGTTCAGCCTCTGGTTATTTCTGGCCCGTCGTAAACAAGCTCTGCAAGCATTTCCCATATGTTTTCAATTAAATTTAAGTCTGGACTTCTTGCAGGCTATTCCAGAGTAGTTATATTTGCTTCACACATCCAATTTTTCACTGATTTGGCCACATTGATGCTGCAGTTATCTTGCTGCAAAATAAAATTACTTCCCATTCTTTTTCTATGAGTGATAGGTCTCTCTTTTCCGAAAGTTCTCTGTAGCTCAAGCTATTTTGACGTCCTTTTAACCACTCGAGCCACAAGTTTCCATTCGGAAATACCATACCCCAAACCATGACTCCTCATCCTCCTATCTGTCTCTTGTTGAGAATAACAGGTTCAACTTTTCTCGACCATGTACAACACCCGTCAGGTCCATCGAACTTAAAACGTTTTTCATCAGTAAATATCACTTTCTTGAAGTCGATTTGGTTTGTTATCCATCTTTTGGCGCTTCCCAGCCTTGCCTACTTGTGTTTTCTCGTTAGTGTAATTCTTTTCTTGATTTTAGCATACTTAAGTCCAATTTCGTGTAGCTTTCTTTGTACAGTTCGAACACTGACGTCAAGTTCACACTTCTTTACTTTCTTCGCTGTCACCTTTTCTCCAGATGATAAGAAACTCGTAACACTCCTGTTTATTCTTCTTCCTGTTCTCTTGGAAATGTTTTTTTTCCGTCCTCTCTTCTTCCGCTCATAGTCTGTACTTAGCATGTATTCAACTGTTGACTTCGGTAGCTTCATCCCAGCGGCGATCTTTCGGATGCTGAGCCCGTCCTCTCTCTTCTTTTGGACCAAACTGATGACTTCTTTTGAATGCATTCTTCTTCAGGATTTTAATACGTTTTCGCAGTGAATGGTAAAGATACTCAAATGTAATGGTCAGGGTACAATTTACCTGCAGAAAATTTGCATATTGTAGACGTTCGACGACTAAATCATTAAAAACCACGAAATTTGTGTCATGTCCGAAAAACAGTGTCGCCTAAGTTGACGTAAAAATAAAGAAAACATGAAACCAAAGACAAACCAATCAATCAATGTTCATACCATTAATGGACAGTTACTGCTCAACTACCTTAACATCAATACAAAAGCTCTCGGCAGCAAAAAACACATTTAAGCACACTTTTCAAAGTGTCCCAAAAATAGTGTCGGTCCCCTGTACCTGGCGGCCAAGTGGAAGACAGAACGTGGTCTGGGGGAGGAAGCAGAGGGAATGAACTTGTTGAAGGCTGCAAGGGATAGAGGGAGGTGAAGAGACATGATCGCCTACGTCCAAAAAGGACACGACACATAGAAATAAAAAGTTCTCAACCCTTTTTTTACCCATGACTCACTTTTACTCTGAATTCTTTTATGGACTCCCATAACCATTCCTTGAAAATAAAAAAGCTTATTTTATTTTTTACTAATAGATGAGTTTAGGAATTGTATTATAGAAATAGTAAATATATATATATGCTTTATTTTAAAGTAAAACTAATTTAATAAAAATAAGCTTGTATTTAACGACTAACTTGTATGGAACATTTATATACACCAGGAAATAATTTATAATAAACCATTTTAAAATATGTGAGTAATTACCCCGCAATATGCTATTTTTGTGTGGACCCCCATAATGTTACATGAACCCCCCAGGGTGCATATGAAACCCTATTGAGGACCACTGATCTAAACATTAATTATATAAATTATCATTTTGGAAAGTGAAAATTTCACTAAAATATGCCGTAAAAATTTTATTAGAAATCAAGAAAATATGAACTTTAAAAAAAATGGTTACACTATTTTATTTGCAATAATCTTCCCCCTGTAAAAGGCCCAATAGTCACTCCAGCTAGAGGGTTGTAAAGTAAGAGGTAAGAGGCACAGTTTTATAAGGATATGTGGGGATAATAACGGTTAAGTTTAGACTTGAACAAGTTAAGATTGTAGTGACCGGGGAAGCATCCTATTGAGAGTCGGTTGGAAAAACAATACGCAAGTTTAAACCAGTGTTTCGCAAACTTTTTTTTTTTTTTACTTCCGGTTGCATTTGTAGAATAACTAAAACTCCTTCTAAAAATATTATCCACTCCTTAAAGATCAAGGAATTTAACATCTAGTTTAAAATATCAAATGACAAATACTTGACTTAGACATGGAAAATGGTTTTTTAAATATAAAAATAATTCATAAATTACGGGCACCCGGGCGCACAAGTGGAGAAAGGTTGATTTAAACTGACGCCAGCAGAATATGGGTTAAGACTACTGATATAGCTTTATTTTGCACAAAACTAAGCTTAGGAATTTGTTAGTGTTGCGAGTTCGATTCTCACTGGCTGCCCATTATTATGACCTCCCGCTAAACTAATCAAAGCTTAGTAAATTATTTTTCCTATTCTGTTTGTTTCATGAAAATATTTTCATGTATTTATTAATTGCTTGATTCGTTTTCTACGGCTTATCAACGATTTGAAGATTATTTAAAGTTATTTAAAGCCATAAAATATTTTTAGATTGTAAGAATTTTTGTGGAGAGATAATAATGATTTAGTGATACAAATCTTACTATTTAACCCATAGCTGGAGTGGAGAAGAGGTGGATTCATCCCTTTCCTAAAGGTATTTGCGAGTAAGTAAATATAACGAACTTAACTGGAATTAGAACTCATCTCTCCAATTAACAATTCCGAGCCATTATCCTTTACACCACCACACATCCATTCTTACAACAATCTGGTATTCCCATTAGGTCATTCATCTAGGTACTGACCAGATGTTGCTTAACTTCGGTGATCTTACGGGAACCAATGTTTCAACGTGATATGGCCATAAGCCAAAAATTGAGCATTTCTGTCGCTCCAACATAAGGATTTTCAGGTGATGAAAAGATACCGTATATTTTCATTTTTTTCTAATCATTTCACCCCAAGCAAGGCAGTAAAGCCACTAAGACACAAGGGGCTAATGCGTGTGAAAGAATAAGACAAAAGAGAAACATTATTAAGGAGTCAGAACAATATAAAAGAGTAATCAAGACGATTCACATTGCATCTACATTTCTGAAGGTCGAAGTTGGCTGGAAATCAAGAAGCCGGAAAATAGTTCCACAGGCGAGAAGTGTGAGAGAAGAAACTGATAGCATAGAAATGACGGTTACCATTTCAAATATAAAATGATAAAACCTTGTCGTCTATCTAACACTGCGTTCCGTTTATTTATTAAACAGCATATTTATTTTCATCTACCGGCCTGAATGCTCGTAAAATATATACAAAGAAAAATATGCGCTTGAATATTCCGGCCGTTGGATAAACGGGGCGTTTACTCTAATATGAGTATCCATTAAAAATAACATTTAAAGTGATAGAATCTGTCGGATTAATGAATTAAAACATCCATTACTTTAAAAATTTGCTTTGTTTACGATCGGATCCGAAACTGAGCAGATATGAAAATTTCAAATGTCTATGATGAGAAGGATTTTGCTTAAAGGCACTATCCAAATTCCTTGTAGATGAGTCGGTAAAAACACGTCGAATTTAATGACGGTTCTCTATGTCCAATTGGAATATCCAAGCCAGTAGACGAAAATAAATAAACGTACTGTTTAATAAATAAATGGAGCGTCTGCTTAAATACGAGTATCCACTAAAAATAACATTTAAAGTGATAAAGTCTAGGTACCAAAGAGGAAAGATCACCAGAACAAGTTAAAGATACGAGAAAAGACACTTTAGCGTAGAACTTTCGTTTACATGTAGCCAATTCAATTGTAAATTAATGAGACCTCGTTGCTATTTTTTTTATATTTGTTTGTCTTTTTTTTTTTTTTTTCAATTTAAAAAATAACGCATTTTCATCAAATTTGTTCTCTGTTCAACTCAATTCTGTAGTTCTTTATCATTAGGGAAAATAGATTTGCTTGTTAATTTTTAGACGAATGTAAAATAGGGTATTCGTTAAAACTAATAATCCTGGAGAAATATCTAAAATCAAATTTGTCTTCATTGCATGTTCTAATTACTTGCTCCAGTCGAAATTTAAAAAACAAACGTTCGCTCGGAAAAATTTAAACACAATTTTAAAGTGACTCAAACAAACCAGCCATCACTTAATTGAACACGAAATTTCAAAAATCAATAAATTTAGAGTAAATTGTATTGAATGTCGTTTTATTGATTAATCTGCAAACGTATACATACCTTTTATTGATTTTATGCATAAAAATCAGTTCAGGGTTTATTTCATTCTCTCTTTCTCCGTCCAAATCTGTCTCTTCTAGTTTTAGATGAATGGTCTCATTTCCTATTCCAAGTATTTTGCTAGTTAGACCCGTTACCAAAAGTTGTCACGAGGAAAATGGCAAAGGAAGGCAGAATTTCGCTTAGGAAATTCTCAAGAATCATTAAATGCCAACATTTTTCTCTCTAATTAATTCAAGAAAATATTATAAAGAAAAAACAAAATTTAATTTATTTTCAAAGATACTTGAAATAAAATTCATTTTCTTTCAATGAAAATAACCTCTTTTTGTTTTATTTTGCTTTTGCTTCATTCAATTCATAATTTTGTGCAAGCCAACAGAATATGACCAGCAACATGCCTCAAGAATGTGAACATGTTGGCCCAAGCCATCCCATGCGTATTCAATCGTATTTAGATTCGTATGAATAGAATATTGTTATAAGTTTTTAGTAATGAAGTTCTATTCCTAGGAGGCTGCTCGTACAACAATGAATGCTCCTTCTAAATACAACGTTCTCGAATTTATAGACGGGTCACCAACGTAAAAACCGCAAGATTTATTGTATAAAATAAAAATTTTACACAAGGCCGAAAATGGATAGAAACAGGCTGAGGCTGATCGTCACTTACTATCTAATACCTAGCTAATCCGATTCACAACTCGGTCACTCGTTACAATTTGCACATTGACCAAAAGAACACATCCATTATCAATCAATCCTCCATATACTAAAATACCGCGTACTCTCATGGAACCTACAAAAAACAACCCATAACATAAAAATTTAATGAGCATAAAATTCTATACATAAAAATCTGTAGATGATATACAATGAACGGGGAGGGGATGAACCGAGAAACAAACCTAAAATATGAAAATAAATATAACTGATGTTAGTTGGAACCCTCAAACCCTCAGATGAATTAAGAGAGGTCGCTGTATTCTGCCTTTAGACAAAATCAAGAGGCTCTCTCGCTAAGGGAAAAGATAAAATAAATACGGTCACGGGGAAAGAAGAAATCTGACCCAATCGAGATAAAAAAAAAATTGGGCCAAAAAAAACAAACTATCCTAACCAGATGAAGGGGATGACTCCATTTCATGCGAACCAGGCTCACCTCAGTCATCCACCTTTCGCTGAAATCTGTCGAACCCAATTGCTTTCTATCAGTTCTTATCTTTATCTTGAGCTGATGCTCAAAAATCATATTAGATCCTAATGGGAATAACGGTGACCTCGCAAGACTTCCTCCTGTCGCGTCGTCCAAATCACTATTCGAGCCGTGGCGATAGAAACACCATCCGTCTCACCCCAGAATACGGGGGCGAGACAGTGTCACACGCGTACGGGCGATCAATGAGCACGAGCTTTTCGGGAGTGATACGAGCCGTCAACTCGCCGACATAGCCCCATAGGGAATGGACCCAAGGACAATGATAGAAGGCGTGTGAAGCCGTTTCTTCTAAGCCAAGGTCGCATTTTTCACAGACTGGCAGATCCGCTAAGTCCTTGTCATTGAGAGATAGCCGATTCCGAACCAATCGCCATGTAAGCGAAAACACAATGTTGCTGAGGTAATCCGCCGCTGGCGCCCAAATACAAAACGAGCGCCACTCATCCGCCAACAAGCCGAGCTAGAAACGTAGTGGATCCTTCGCAACCCCCCTGCACTAGTTCACGAAAGAGGAATCTCCTAGGCCGAGAAAGGTCACTGGAACGAGGAATGACCGCCAAGGCCGATCGTCATTCGAGAAGGAAACTCGGTTGATCACAGAGCTTATGATGACACTCAGCCCGCAAGATTGGAGGAGTGATTGTAGCGAAAGGGAACGCGGCCCTTACAATCCCCGCCAAAATCGAATCCCCTGTCAATGCCCAACGTAGGAAAGCCAGCCTCGAAATGCGCTTGTGATCCACGAAGTGCGGCATTCCCAGACCAGGCGAGTTGCCTCTGCCGACCTTCTTCAATGCCACGTAGACCTTGCCCTCCGTGATCTCTCACTCGCAGCTAGCCGCTTCAGTTGGCGAAAGCCGAGGAATGTCAGCCAAATAGCTACAAAACTCCTCGTCACAGAGACCAGGTTCCTTGTTAAAGCGGCTCTCGAAATGTCGCCGAAACGCCTCACACAGATCGCCAGTCGACCTCAGAGAACGCCCCTCCGGTGTCTTAAGTTCTCGAATGTAGCGATTGGAACCTCGACGAATCTCTTCCTTGCGCAATTCTGATCCTATGTTCACAGCTTCGGAAGACATTTTGCTTAATTTATGTCTAATTGCCTAATTCATGCAGCGCTCTAGGGCCTCCCTAGCTAGAGCTATCTCTAGGGATCCCCCAGCCTCCGCCCGGGACAGACTATCCTTAAGAGCCTTCATCTTGTTAGCCTTTTCTAATGCGAGCCGTTTGCTAAACTCAGTGGTGGCAGACTTACCCCGATCCCTTAAGCCTCACCCACCAACTATTTCCAATAACCGCTCCCACTATTTCCCGCTTCACTACGGTAATTAACTGTTCCTGGAAGTCCCGCCTGTCTAGTAAAGACAAATTGAACTACCAGTATCTAGCCATTCTAGGCCTACGATCTAAAGCCACCCGGGCACAGATGAGTCTGTGGTCCGAATAGCCTAACCCGTGGAACGTGGGACAATCTAGTAAGTCTATGTCGGCCCTTCTGACTAACATTCTATCCAGGTAGCTAGACACCCGGGTAGATAGCCACTTAAGAGCCCACGTGCACATTTCTCCCTCTGGATGATCGACCCGGTATCTATCGACGAGACCAAACTCACCGATCAAATTAACCAAGTTACGATCGCCCGACCTCCCGTTAGCTCTCCGACCGCTGTCTAACTTGGGTTCCAGGACGGCATTCCAGTCCCCATTAAGATTAAGCGCGTTGAATCCACCAGAAACGGCCCCAAATGCCGACAAACGAGATAGGCTCCTTCTGGTCATTGGGCGCATAAACCGCAACGATCCGAAACGAGCAACTATCGACAACGATCAGCCGGCCCCCGGCATCAACATGAGCAAGGTCAGACTTGCATCAAGGGTACGCTTAACTAGCAAAAAACTCCTCTGCCCTGTCGGTCCCGATATGCTGAATAGACGACAAAGTCGTTAGACAGTACACACGCATCAACATCGCAAACAAAGTGAGTTTCCTGAATCGCAGCGATATCCACACTTAAGAACAAGAGGTCACAGAGGAGGCAGGCAGCCTTACCCCGATCATTCAAGCCATTTGCATTCAGGCTGGCTATCTTGATAGACATGATTTAAGTCTGAAAAAGAAACAACAACTCTATTCATATACCGGAAGGAAATCTGCGGGAGTAAGGACCCCGATGAACTGTCCTAGGCACCCTGTACCCATCTCTGACGTCATCCGTCCCTCTAGGACAATATCGTTAACGTCCATGGGATAGGTTAGCTTTACTGCCCTATATAACGAGGGGTAGAGAAGTACCGGGACCCTCCCCACACAAAATTTGGCTAGCTTTTTCAGTACGGGCGATCCCGACACAAATACTCGTACATCTAGGAAAGCGTCCTTAGCTTCCACTAAGTGATACCACAATTTCAGG